CTCATTTGTTGGCATTATTCACTCGCATGCTTCTGAATAAAGGCACAGGTGATACGTCATGTCGTGATGATCATCTACTGAACTCACCAAACATATGTTTGGTGTGACTCGACGTATATAAGGTATATAAGGTATGACATTCAACTTGAAGTACAACTTGTGTGTTATAATGTCTTATTTATACATGCTGTATGCATTTATAACTTATCTATATATGTGCTTATAACAATTTCACATATATAACAAATACCCTATTCGCATATGTGGAAAAAAATAACATGCGTTATATATATATATATATATATATATATATATATATGCAATATAACGTGACCTTACATGGCACATGTTATAACAACTATTTAACCCATTCAAATACCTAGTATTTGTAAGATATTATATGTGACAAAAGTAGTTAACAATTAATGTTATATAGTCACTACATACACACGGACACACACATACACACACACACATATATATATACATACATATTCATATACACAAATATAAATATATATATATATAACAGAAAACTATCAGTTAATGCTTATTTGTTACAGTAGAATGATGACTGTAATAATAACAGCCTCTATGTTTCGGATGTTTAGACGTGCATTTGAGTTTATAACCGGAAGAAATTAATTTGATAATAATAATAATAATAATTATAATAATATCGTTAACTATATTAAATTGCAGTATAAATATACATATATTTGTTTGTCAAATTATAAAATATTTGTTGTAAGTAGTAATAATAGTAGTAGTAGTAAAGTAGTAATAGTAGTAGTAAAAACAACAATAATGTTATTTATATAGAGTCTTATACTTGCTAACTTCTTTTGTTCGTGCCAATCTCTTCAAAATAACTTGTCTTAATTAGTTACTGAAGCACGAAAGTACTTTAAAAGTAACATTGTTGTTTGCATTGAAAGTGAGAGGTAAGAGAGAAAGAGAGAGAGAGAGAGGTTATACTGTACAGTGTATTTACTGTTTAATTAAAATACTCAAAGACCATTTAATGAGAGTAAACTTAGCTGGTATTAGTGATTTTATGATTAATCATTCGAATTATCATCATCATATATCATCATCATATATCATCATCATATATCATCATCATATATCATCATCATATACCATCATCATATATCATCATCATATATCATCATCATATATTATCATCATATATCATCATCATATATTATCATCATAACCAATCATCATCTTCGTCGTCGGATTGCCGTTTTCATTCTATTGCCATCAACAAAAAAATCGTCATCGTCATCATCACATACGTCATCATCACTATCACATACGTCATCGTCGTCATCATCATCATCACATACGTCATCATTATCATCATCATAACTACTTCTTCATCATCATCTAGATCGCTACCGTTACTAATTTAATTATATTGAAATTAACAAATTTAAATAGTTATATATATTATATATTATATATATATATATATATATATACATATATATATATATATATATATATATTAGTAATAATTAAGTAATCGTTACAATATTTATCTTCAGAGATTAACATTAAAAAGGTAGATCGTGTAAATTAACATCTCAGCATTTTAAAAGCAGTATTCACTACATTGGTTGGCTGCATTTTTTCAGTAATTAATCTCTAAAAGGATTGTAGTAATGTGCTGTACGTCAAATTCAGCTATGGTTTAACAACTGTTGAACAGTGTAGTGAGTTGAAAAAGCAGTATTACTACTGTTGACTTTTAACTGTTTTGTATTTCAATATTGTCGGATCAGAAGATAGTTATTCGGAAACATTTTTTGATAGTTCGAGTTACTTATCTGGATGCTACGTTGACAACATTAACAACAACAAGAACTTATAACCAAATCTACTACCGCTGCTGCTACTACTACCACTACCACTACTACCACAACTACTACCACAACGACCTCAAAGTAATTACTGTTACTACTAGTACTACAACGTCACAATAACCGTATTTTATTAATTAATATCACTGCAATCTTAATTAAACAAGTGTAAAAGTGAACTTGAGTTGGAAAAATGTATTTCAATGATCACTATCTAGATGGGTTTGAATTCGGGTTGGTTGGTTTTTTCTTTGTTTGTTGGGTTTTATAATAATAATAATAATAATAATAATAAAAATAAACAATAATAATAAATAATAATAATAAATGATTATAATTAATATTAATAATAATGTAATAGTGGAGTTTCACAGAAAGTATTAATTTCGACCTGCACGTTTGTACTGCCTTTTGGCTAAGTAATAACTCATTGAGCTGCTATTTAAGACTTGCATTAATTTAACATCGATCGTTTGGCCTATTCATTTCGTCAGTCGTTTGAATGTTCATTCACTCTTTCATTTGTTTATAAATTCATTTATTCCTTTATTCGTTCGTTTGTTCATTCGTTCTTTCGTTCGTTCGTTTGTTCGTTCGTTCAATCAAATGTTCTTGTAATAAAATAAAAATATATACGTGTAAGTCAGGCACACCACCTTATTGAAGAAGATTTATTTACCAACTCCTGCTTGCATACCTCTCTATTTGAATTGGAGATTTCATCTAGAAATTGTTTGCTTTTGCTATTTTCGTCTATTTTTTATTCATTCTTTACTTCATTCATTCGTTTGTTCGATCATTTGTACTTTTTATTATTCATTTATTCATTTACATGTTCATTCATTTATTTATTTATTCATTCACTCATTCATTCCTTTGCTTATTCATCATACTTTTAATGGATCCTTAATGGATAATTTAAGCACTAGTATATGTGT